AGTGGCCTCCTTGAGATTGAAGGGCTCCCAGCCCCAGGGCGCAGCCTGTGAAGACAGAGTTCTAAGAGGAGGCTGAGTCTGGGAGGTGCTGGCTGCAGCCTGGGAAAGAGGGTTGGGGGAAGGGGAGAGACCTGGGGAGGTGTGGGGAGACAGCCACCAGGTGTTTCTGTCCCTTGCCCCTGAACTTTTAGAACAAATGCTATACACAGGAAGGTGTATTTGAGGTACTTTGTTGGGGTGCTGGTGGCTGCAGGTAGGATTGTCCCTTGTGATCTAGCGAAGACAGGTTGATGGTTCAGGGAAAACAGTTCTCCTCCCCTCAAAGGGGAGGATCAGAAAAATCAGAGGAGCTTAGGACGTAAAGACATCTGAGAGGTTCTCCAGGGGTCTGTCACACTGGCTTTCTAGGGGCTGTCCCCTATGCCCTGAGGGCTTCCAGAGCACTTCAGCTGAAGGGTGCTGTGTGACTGGCTGGTTCTCCATCTCAGTTGGAAGAGGCTATCCCCCCACACCTTGCTCTCCCCAAGTGAGGGATTTAATTCCAGCTTTGGTGATGCTGGGTCCCAGAAGTAGCCACCAGGGGGCGCCCGCCGCCAGTTCTTGGCGCTGCTGGAAGCCGGGTGTGTCCTCCATCCAGACTTGAGGATGAAGGAGAGGGAATTCTTCAGCCGGGAAGCAACCCCAAACCCAGAGGTGAGCCAGTAAATATTTAACAACTGGCTCCCAATTAAAACAGCCCTGAATTATAGTGTTCGCCAATTTCCTCAGTGTCAATACTCCCATGGGCGATTTTGAGCTACCAAACTGTTACATAGTGGGAGATACAACAGATGTCAATATAAGCTCAAGAGCACAGGAGGGAGAAGAATGTAGAAGAATAACCAGGGGGTGGGAGTTTGGAGTATTGATGACCTTGGGTTTTAATATCGTATATCATCATTTATTAAACAACTGAAACAAATTCTGAAACGTGCTGATTGGCGCTCACGGTGGGTCCCAGGGAGCCCTTCCTCCATCCTGGCCTCCCACGCCCTTGAATGCCACCATCCTGAATTGCCCCACTCATCCCTCCAGCAAACACATCCTGAACATACAGTGTCGCTGTGAATCCCCTCAGTCTTCCAAGGAGGGACTAGCATTCTCTCCATTTTACAGAAGAGGAAACTGAGGTTCAGAGAGGTGAAGTTACCTGCCCTAGATCACTCTTGGGGATCCAGGATTGGACCTTGGCCTGCAAGCCATGTTTTCACCACTATGTCACACTGTCTTTGAGCTCTCAGTGGGATTTTGGGGGAATCCCATGCCCCCAAATCTCACCCCTGCTGACCTGCCCTGGTGCCTGGAAGTCCCTCATTAGTCACCCTTCGTGGCTCCTGACTGCTGAGGGAAGGCTCTATTCCCTGGAAAGGTGACTGAGCAGAGCCCAGCCCCCTCCTTGCAGAGAGCAGGACACAACAAAGCCAGGGCCAAGGACAAAGAGAGAAGGCTGGGAGCACAGAGCTGGGATTTATTGAGCACTTGCTCCATGCTTGGCACCTTGCCAAACACTTTACCCTCATTGTCTCATTTAGGCCTTGCATGCCCCCATGTCGTGGGTGTAATGCCTGTCCCATTTTCCTGTTGGAGAAACTGAGACTCAGAAAGCAGAACCACTTGCTCTGGCAGGTTTCACTGCTAGGAAACCACACACTGCTGATTTTAGCTCTGCTGCGGGGAAGGAAGGAGAGCAGACAGGAAATGGGGGGCCCAGGGATGGCAGGCCAAGTTTGCTCCAGGTCCCCAGTCTCTTCTAGGCTGGGGTTGTCACCATCCAGCAGCTGATCTGAGCAGGAGCTCCCCAGATTCTTCTCCCAGATCCCCCCCCATCCCCCGTCTGCAATCCAATCAAGTGACAGATTGTTAGGGAGTGACCAGGCTCTGTGCTAAGCCTGGGGATGCCACATGAGTGGGACAGGCCTAGCAATGGTCTTTGGGACTCACGGTGGAGAGAGAGAAGGGAGCGATTAATCAAATGATCCCCCAGGAGGTCAGACTGTGGCTGGGCTCAGAGCTCAGAGGAGAGGTGCTGGAGGCTGGGGGTATGTGCACTGGGGCCAGACCTGGGCCAGGAACGTGGTGCTTGACACTTGAAGGATGCAGAGTTTTGACTCGGGAGGGTGAGAATGGGGAGAAGGCCGTTCCAGGCATCAGGAGCAGCAGGAGGCACCGGAGCATGCACTGGGGGAATGGATGGGAGGGTAGCTGGAAGGAGCCAGAGCAATGGCAGGAAGGTGGGGAAGGCTGCGTGAGGATGATGGGCACCTGCACCACAGCAGGGTGCAGAGAAGGTGTGGAACTGAGAGACACGTGGGGGGAAGAAGGACTGGTGAGAGTTGGTGATGGATTGGGGTGACAGAGAGGGATGTTGAAATCTTCGCTTTCTGACTTGGGCAGCAGTCCCAGTGGGGGCACCACTGGGCAGCCAGGGAAGCTGTGGAGGGAGGAGGCTGGGGTGAGTGGAGTCCTAGGTTGGGGTTGAGCCATGTTGAGTCTTGAGGGTGTGGTCAAACTCAAGGCGCAGGTGCCGGGAAGCCAGCTTGCAGAAGATCTCAGAAGATCCCTAGTGATCAGGGAAATGCAAATCACAACCACATGACAGGCCACTTTGCACTGCCTTTAGGGCTAAAATTAGACAGCCTGGCAATGCCTACTGCTGGTGAGGATGTGGAGAAGCTAGAACAATCACACACTGCCAGTGGCAACGCAAATGGTACAGCCACTGTGGAAACCACTAGGGCAGTTTCTTACAAAGTTAGACCAGTATTCACCATACAGTCCAGAAACCCCAGGAGAATGAA